ACAAGAGAAGCAAAGCAGTCCACCAGATGAACAAAAGCAATAGACCTAAAACCTGTATTATTATAAATAGCCTTGCAACAAAAATGTAACTCTATGTACAATGCTCCTTAACAGTATTTTCTATTAAAGCAGCAAACAGTTTACAATATTACCCAGTTCAAAATTAGAATTTTTAACCTAATGTCCAGGGGAGTACAGTAAAGCAATAAAATGAAAACATCTTGCCAACATGCAGACCTTAGATTGCGCGCTTGTTCCTGTGCCTCTGTTCTTCCTGTAGATCGCTGTGCTCTTTTATGTTTCTCTGACTTTGAAACAGCCAACTGAACTGAATCTTAGAAGGGAATTTCCCTTATTAAACATTTCTAGTTTTGCAGCAATTACTGCAATAGTAATTGGCTGCTATTTGGGCAGTTTCTTTCTCAATTATTCTAAAAACTACTTAAATATAATGACATGAAGCACTCTCTGGCTGTAGACTGAACAACGATGTAAAAATGCTCTGATGCATAACCAAAACCAGATTGCTTCCTGTTTGCATTTCTGGGTCAAATTAAAAGAGGGTACTCTTTGCTGTGTCAAATTGCCTCCCCTAAAATACAAATGGCTACATCTGATTTTTTCTCCATTCTTCCTTCTAAAATGTATCATACTGATGAAGCCATGACTAAGCTAATTACTGACCTGAGCAATTTGCTGGATCAAGGAGCATCTTTTTAAATATCTTTTTATCTTTTTTTTTAATCAATCTTTTAAATAGCAATCCACAATTTCTCCCAGAGAGAGTGAAAGTAATTATAGCCCAGTTTCATGAACAAAATATTACTAGATGCATTTGAAAACACCAGCTTTTGATTCTGGAAAAGTTCGTATTGAGTTAGAAAGTTTTCTGAGAATAAAACCAGAGACTTTGTCTCAGAACTGCAGTGTTTTTGTTCTTTGCTGCCTGACCCAGTGACTTTCATCATTTCACCTGGTATACGTATTTGTTTTTACCGTTACGCGCATGCTTGCCTGTATCAATTCAGCAACTAAGAGGAGGGAGCCCCATTTGCTTTGTGCTTATATAATACACATTGTGTACTTACTATAAATTTAGTACAACTGAAGATACAAATTGTAACTGAGAAATTATTTTCTATTCAAGTTGAATATACAGTCCTCCATCTCCTGGTTCATTCTCACACTTTTCCTTGGATAGCAGTCTCAGATGAGAGGCTCATTTGTGAAGGATGATTTTCTAGTAGCGTTGGACAACTTGCTGTGAACAAATTTTCAGAGCCTGCAAGGCCAAACAAACCTGACACGACAGCGTAGCCTGAAATCATTTCCTCAGATTCACTGTCACTGCATACAAGATCAGGGTGACTTGCTGAATACTTGCATATTTACTCTTTTCAGGATCACTCATTATGAAACTGTGTGAGAAACAGTTTGACTTTATCAAACTATTACCAAAACAAAAACGTGCTTTCTTTGCAAAATCTAACAAGTAGCAAACCGTGAGCTTAAAAAACTATCAGAGTGAAAATTATCCAACCACTGATGCAGTTGGCTAAAATTTATTTGTGCTACTTTAAGGATGGTTGCCCAGGAAGAAGCCAAACTGCAGCAGTCATTACAGCATTGAACATTACAGCCAGTCTGAGACACAGTGGAGCACCAAACATCACAGCCCATTCCCTGATGCCAGCTGCTCCTTCACCACTACAACTGCAATTCTATTCTCTAAGTCACATACCAGCTGTCAGTGGAGAAAAAGGAGCACTGCTCACTGCTTTTATTTGGAAGTAGGATTTCAACATTTAGCACAACTCTTCTAACATTATTTTCTTTTTGACTCTTTCAGCTACCAACAGGAGGTCTGCAGAAATTACTTGTCCTCCCAAGTCCATCTCTGAGGCAGAGTTATCAAAAAAGAAAAGCATTAAGAAGACCAAAGGTGGAATTAAGGTAGGAGTCTCCAAGTTCTCGGGACACGCTGAACTGCAAGAGAATTCAAAACAATGTAAACATGTACTTACAAGTTAATTCTCTGCAGAGCCCTTTTTACCCTTCATATTGCACTTTTAAAAGTTACTCTGATGCCAGCATTAAGATTTCTGCTCCTGTATGTAGTGTTGATTGTTGTAATAGTTTATTAATGGATTACATCATCATCAAAATAGGTAAATAATTTATTTATGTGGAATAAATATAGGGCACTATTAACTTCTACAAGCAGCTCTTCAAATGCTTAAGAACTTAAAGATTGCAATGGAGTTTACATTATCCACCAGCTCACTGCTTGATTTGTTTCACTGAATTAAACTATTCTGCCTTTGCAGAAGCCCAAATAGTTCTTAGCTCTAAAGCTACAGACAAAAAGAGGGAAAACCTGCTTAAAATTTGCCTGGAACACCCTTGAAATGTTTCAACTCTGTAAGACTGGACAAGGAAGTACATTCATATGTATTAAAATTGTATGCAAAGCTTCAGTTCATCACAATACAGGGCCAGTGTTTGCACACAAGCACAGTGCTGAGCATTTGCTGTATAATATAATAGCATTATCAATACAACGACAGATTTCTCAGAGATACAAGATAGATTTCCCAGACTTCTCTGGTTGGCACTGTTCAAAAGACTTTAAAAATAATGTCTTCATCGTTGGCTTCAGGCAGGGGAAAAAAAACAAAACCAACACAGTATTTCAGAGCCTAAGGAACAGGCCTTTATGCCTATGAGTATCTACCTAAGGATATAAATTCACTTCTTATACTGAAAGAACCCAAGAATAACTTTGCATGGAGTTAAGAATACCCCTAATGCCAACAGAATTGGAAAACTAGAGACAAAAGTTACTTTTTATATATAACTTGCACATCTAAGCAAATTATTCTAACTTATCAAGTGACCCACTACACTGGTTTTGTACTACGTTGGCTTGTAAAGAATTAAAATTCTCTAAATAGAAGTATGAGCAACTAAGTGCTTTTGCATCGTATGTGCTTTTTGTTCAGATTGAAGTGATGCACGAGGCGAGTCAAGGGGGATCGAGCAGAGTCTTGGTTATGAGTGAAAGCGATGAGAACCTGTCGACGCGGAGGAGGTAAGGCGGCACACGGCGCTCACTGCGTGACGGCAGTCATTAGACTGAGGCTTGCAGATGCCATTATCCAATTATTAACGTCATCTCACTGTGTTCAAAAAACTCACTCTTGACCGTATGCCTCTGAGAAGCTTTTTTTTTTTAAATTTAATTTAACTGATCATCTTCTAGTCTCACTTTCTAGTAACTCTTGGGAAAGATTAATTATGCCATCTAAAATACCAATACTTTAGTTATTTAGTTTTACAAGTAGTGTCAAGCAAACACAGTTCTAGGTGAATGCACTGTCTCTAGGCCAAAGAAACAGAATTTGAAACAAAAAAAAACCCTGCAGCAAAGCTGCAAACCAAACCCTACCGATTCAATTTCCTTTGTTTTCTTCATAGTAACAGAAATAACCTTTTCTTACACTGTGCCTCTGTTTCACACAGGTATACACTTAAGTTGTTTGATAGGAGAGCACGAGCTTGTAATGCTATGCAAATCTGAGGCATACAAAAATGAAACTTACTGCTATCTGAACTTACAGCAGACTTCAAGTATTTTCATAGGGCATAACAATTACGACTACCACTGGTCACCAAACTATCAGCTAGTTCTCAGAAGGTCCAAAATGTGTTATCTATCAAAATAAGGTCTATTTCAAATCACATCTCTAAGGTAATGATTGTCTAAAGAGAAGGCACGAATGTGTAAGTTCACATTAAGAATTGGCTAAGCTTCTAATATTTTGTAGAATTTCAGATTCATAAACCCACTAAACAAATTCTTAAATTGTCTCCTTTCTTGGGAACAATTTCACCTTTTGTTCCCTAAAAGGTTTGGAGGTTTAGCATAAGGTCAGTCAACAAAAAGAAAACACAAAAATCCCCACATGGTCCCCTGGAAGGACACTCCCTCATTGTCCTCAGAATAGCATCTCAGCATCAGAGCCAAGCGCATCGGTTACAAAGAAAGCAACAAGAAATTTCTCTTTTTTTTTTTTTAAAAAAAAGGAAACAAGTCTGTTTATTCAAATCAGATTTTACAAAACAATTGTCTTTTTGTGGTACAGAGCAAAGTTTAAGAATAAATATTGAATACTTTGTATAAAAATTAGTAATATCAAAGGGAAATTGATGCAAATCAAACAAACAGGTAAAAACAATTTTAGCATTAAACACGCTGTGCAACAATGTCAAACTCTTAATGAGGCATGACCATTCAGGCTGATACAGTTTTGCTTGTAGAAGTAAAACCTGACAGCCCTGCATTGGAGCACCAAGATGATCATTAAAAGAGGTTCTAGTTAAAGGTGTACAAATGTGAAGTTGGTGTTTTGAACCAGAAAGTTGGGTTTCGTTGTGTTTTTCTTTTTTTTTTTTTTTTAAAGAAGTGCATTCATAGTTTTCTTTTTATTCATAAGCAGCTTCTTTTTTCACTGCAGCAAACAAAAATGCAAACTACAAACACCAAGGCCCTTTTAAGAAACAACCCAAACAAAATTTAAATTAGCCACAAAACAACATATTTCAATGGTCAAAAGTGAGTTTCAAATAACAGCAAGCTATATTTAAGTAGTGTTTTAGATGTTACCTAGGTCACTATAGAAGTTTAAGATACTTACAACTTGGACTTTGCTTGTATGAGTGAAAACAAATCCTAATGCACACTTACGCCAGAAAAATTGTAGTCTTAATAGAAGACTTTGGTTGTGTATAAATTTCAAGACCCTCTTTCCCCTGAAGTGAATGGGGAGGCATTTCCAGTTGTGCCATTCTGCTGTGCATCTTGTTGAGTTAAATGGCCTGCAACAGGTCCTAGATCTGATGAAGAAGTTTTCCTTCAAGCACTGAACACACCTGTGTGCATTCCCCCCACCAGCACCTACCCAGGGCCAGCAGGTTACAGATCGAGGTTGGTTGTCTTGTTTTCTTAAAAAAAAAAAAGAAAAAAAAAGAAAAAATCCTCAGGTTGTAATCAGTTTGTAGGGAAGAACATGAAGCAGGTTTGTTTTTCTAGAATACAGCTGTTGCAGTCCAATTATTTTAATACTGATAAATGAGTTTGTGATCTATACGTACCTAACATTTTGTCCAGTTAGGATTATTATTTTCCTCTTGGAAAACCAATTGTGAAGTTACATATTCACTTCAATCTAGTAGCTACTTAACATCCATCTGAAATGGCAGTTTCAGGAACAGTCAGCAAGCTGCTGCTTTTTTTTTTTTAAATCAGTGCTAGCTATTAGCATTCAAATACCATTAGTATTCAAATCATTAAAACTGCAGCACAGCTCACAGAACAGCAGCAGTGATTTAAACAATTTACTACTTACAGCTTAAAACTGCCATGCCACACACAACTCTTCTAAAGTGAAGTTAGAAGACATTAAATGCTTCACTGCTCCACACAGCAGCAACAGACTTCAGGCAGAGGAGAAAAGGCCAGCTTTAGACATCTCAGAAAGCAAGGAGCATTGCTTCCATAGGCAGTACATTATCAGCAGATCCCAAGACTGTGACAGATCGCTGGTACCTCGAAGTTCTTGGGTTGCATGTTCCTGCTTGCTGATAAACTTGTCTCATTCAATCTTTCAGAAGTAGTTTTTAATGACATTACCTACACTAACTTGTTCCAGTATTGAATCAGTTCACAAGCAATATCTGGCTGCCCTTTGCATAGCCTGTGCCTGCTCCAGGAAGAGCTACCACAACCAAATTAGCCGTCCTGTGAGACTGTAAAGACACCATTAGTAAGTTATACAAGAAAAGACTGCAGACATCTCAGAACCACTTTTTTTTTTTTTTTTTTGAACAACATTTAGATGGCACCACAATTCAACTCAACACCCAGAATTTCAGCACTACCTAGATTTACAATGCACAGGTATTTGGTTCTTCCTGCATGTGATATTAACAGTTAGCTCTATTCAAGAGACACGCTTTTGGGGACAAAGACTACCATGACATTCTACAGAGTCTTTTCTCTTCAGGAAAAGACTTGAGAAATGTTTTAGTGATTGTGATTTTGTGTATTGAGTTTCTGTGGATCACCATCTGCCTAACCTTTCACCATGACATCAAACCTTTGTGCAGAAAACATTCTCCTTATCTAACAAATGCTAAACATGAAACTTTGCTCTTTAAAATCACTAACTGCTTCAAATTGGCTATAGATAACACTCTTGAGGAACACAACTATGACTTTCACTTGCTTTTCACCTTCAGGACCATGAACAAAAGAAAACAGAACCACTGTTAGAAGACCAGTCTTAAATGCACTTAGTCTATTGTCTTATTAAAGACTGGATTGTTTAAATATACAGCTTAACTTTTCAGAAGACAGAGCTTTGACATAAACACTAGATTTTCATCCTTTCCAGTTCACTTCTGATCTAAAGGGAGCTCATTTGCTGCTTTGAAGAAGCAAGTTAAAGGGCACTCAGACACTGTTTCCTTACTTCAGAGATAGAGGGGGCTTTGAGAAAAAGACTGTAGCAGGTCTACACTTCCTGTACTTGGTCAGTTGTGCAGGTCCAGGCATACTTTCCATAAAGCATTCAAAAATACTGAATATATGTAACCAATCTACATTGCCTTGAACTACTAAACTGAGTCACAAGTTCTCCTTCCTCTCGTTTTGAAAGGTCTACTTCATTTTCATGCAGTAGACTTTTTTAAAAAAATCACATGCCTTAGCTTTTTAAAAATTAAAAAAAAAACCTTAGGACTTGCTAACAAATTCAAAATAAGTGATATTTTCACCAACCATTTCAAAGTCTAGAAGTCCATTATAGTTCATTTAATGACCATATAATTCAGATTCTCATCCTGTGAAGGGTGTAAAAAAAATAATAGTAATAAAGCAGGCTACAATGTAGAAAGTTGTGGTACAATAGGAGAGCTATTCCAATAACAGTTTCTGAACAGGACTTGGCACCATCCTCCCACTACCCTGCTTCATTTCCTATCCCACCCCTCCCAAGCCCACCCCAGCTATTCACATTTACATATATTTTGAATAAACAGCAAAAAAAGTTGTTGCTCTGTTTTGGCTCAGTGGATCTTCAACAGATATTCAAGTATTAGGAAAATGCAGCTGAACAAGGGTATGTGTTCTCATAATACAGCTTACAGAGAAGCATAATATTAACTATTCTGCAGTATATTCTACTCCAGAGCCCCGAGGAAAGCTTTTTAACTTTGGGATCGGTAGCCTGCTTCCAAAGATAGTGAAGGTCATCCACGTGTCCATGAGATGTCATCATTCTGTTGTAAATGCAGGGATGATATGGAGCCTTTCCTTCCCCAGAAAAAAAGGCATGATACTGTGGTACAATTCCCATTTTGTTGGCACAGAGGCCCATGAAGACATCATCTATATAAAGACTGGTATTGAGAGTCAATGAAGCCTCATATACTTTAGCTGCTACATCACTTGATATTACATACGCAGCTCCTGCTGTGTAGTCAGGATACGAGGGCCACTGGTACATTTCATATGGAACATAGTATTTGCTAGTCTTATCTCTTACGGGAGGGGATCCACGATGGACACGGCCAATCCAGAGATCCTGAACACCCATTTGTGCTAGACTTTGGAGATAAGCAACGAGATTTGGCATATGGATAAATATATCATCATCTGCAGACATAATAAACCTGGCATGAGGACAGTAGGCATTTACCCAGCTGAACTGTAGAAGTAATTTAGTAGTAAGGTTGTGAAAAGTATCCAAGAAATCTTGCTGAATCAAATCGCTGTATTTCTGGTCTTCCAGATAAAGGTCTCTTTGCCGCAAATGATCTGTTGGTTGTCCCAAAGCAAAAAGGGTTTTAATGTTGGCATTAAGTTTAGAACGAACATATTTCTCATTACCCCAAGTCTGTCGAATTGCATCTCTCCGATGACGGTTTTCAGGAGAAGACTTCACAAACAACAGGAGAAGGACATCCTGCTGTTGACATTTCTCCCTGTGGTTCATCAAGTACTGGTAGCCTGCTACTCTGTCCATGTTATCCCTACTGATGGACAGGCTGTCATTCACAAAATTGTAGCTGTTTATGAGGTATCTGTATGAATAGGACTTCATATGGCTTACAAAGCGATTATCAAATGGTCCCCAGAAAATCATGACACACAGTATGAAGCAAGTGGCGAATATCTGCAAGAACTGGCATTTTCTGACTCTTCTAGGACTAACAAACATTCTGATGCAGTTCTTGTAATTCTTATTCCCGTTTAGGAACAGAATTATTTTTGTCTTCTCTGTTTTGTTTATAAAGAGTGCTTGCAGTTTACTTTGAGAGCACAGTGTCAGTCCTTCAGGATAAGTGTCCGCTGTAAGGCATGATGTCTCTCACTCAGTATCACAAACCCAACTTCCTGCTCGGTTTTCACAAGTCATCTTTCTCAAAAACATTCTTCTTGTACTGGAAGAGAGCAGACAGCTCTGAAAGACAAGACTTGCAGATGAGTTCTTCCCTTTGTGGCATCTTCAAGTAAACTTACAGTTCCAATTAGATCTTCTCACGTGCTGATTTCATTCAGGACAAATCCTAAGAAGGGGAAGAAGTGTTAGCAAGGTGCTGTTACCTCATCTGGTATTGTGTCAGGGAGGAAAGTAGGAACCTGAGGGAAGTTAGCCTGAAGCCTGGCGGGTGTTAGTGAAGGAGAGCCTGGGGCAGGAAAACCCTCTGCTGCTAACCAACAGATGACAACATTTGGTTCAAATCCTTCAAGCCGCAAGGCAAGCTGCACACCGTCCAAGCGCTCCGGGTGTCTCCGGCAGCCTCTCACAGGGCAAAGCCCGCCCAGACGCCGTAACGGCTCCCAGGCGCGGGTGGCCGTGCCACCAACGGCCACAGCCGCGGGGCAGCCCTCACCCCCTCGCCGCGGGACCCCCAGGCGGCCCCTCTCCCTCACACCTTCCCTTTCAACCAGGCTCCTGGAGCCGACCGGGGCTGCCTTCCTTCCTCCGGAGAGAGAGCCGCGGGGCCGCCCCAGCGCAGTCCCACCGCGCCCCTCACGGCCGCCCAGAAGGGCAGGGCTGTACCTCCGACCCCGCGCGGCCGCCCTGAGGGCAGGGCAGGAAGGCGCGAGGCGCAGCTCCGGCCCTGGGCAGGGCGCAGGGTGCCTCCAACCAGCTGGAGCCCTGGGACAGGCTCCTGGAGGGGAAGCAGCCCACTCGTGTCCACAAAAGGACTAAAAAGAGCCAAGAAGAGGCACGCCTCACTGACCCCCGACAGACGCGCTGTGGTTAGCTTGGGACCTGTGATTTTTGGCCGACCGTGCTGACAGAAGCTATCTCCACCTGTCTTGGATTGCCTGTGCACCAGTCGGAGCCGCAAGCCCCTCAGCTAGGCTCTTGACAGTTGCACTTGCAGCACAGAGCTCCCGCAGGATTTCCTCTCTGCCACCAGCTCAGGTTTTGGGGAGGAATCGAAAACAAAGCCACCAAAACCTTCATGCCGTGCAAAACCCAGCATTCTGTTCCTGTACCCAGAGCTTTGTCTCTCTGCACAACAGCCCAAAGGAAGCAGCTAGCTGCTCACCCTGTAAGAGCACCACGTTCAGCAGAGCCAGAAGCACACACCAAGGAATGGTACCCTGCTTGTTAAGCACTTACTGCAGGCAAACAGCCTCCAAAGCAAAGAACAGGAGCTTCTGCTGTTATATTAGAAGTTAAAATGCAACACAAGCACTTGGAAAGATTATTTTACCTACTTGATGTCTTGCGACTAGACAGCATTAGGAGAAAGCAAGGAATTAGATGGCAATAGCAGAACTTGGTGCACTTCTGTGCTGTAGTAATCACCACAGGGTAGAGAGCTGATGGCTAAAAATGGAGCCATGGATTGGTACACTGAGGTTTGCAGACTGTAGAGCATAACAGAAAAGCTGTATGGGCAGTCTGCAGAGTAACAATCAGTCAGTCAGCACTTTTTATAGTATTGGTTTAAATCCACTGTATTTTTGGAAACATTATCTTAAACAATGCACCCCAGAGTTATAAGCTCAGCGACTCTGTAGTAGAACATTACTGCAAAGATTGTTGTTTCAGATGAAGCATGGGGATGTAGACAAGAGGCTATAGAAATCCGAGCATTTGACAGCACCTTTGGAGGGGATCAGGTCTAAAAGTATATACTACTTTCTGAAAATGAAGATCAGTTTTTGTTTTCCCCTCTATCCTGCATCTTGTTTGAGCTCCTCTTCACAAATCTGCACACTGCATGAAATTGGCCAGCTAACAAATGCTGCAGCACTGCCTCACCCAGTTAAGTTTACAAAAGGTGCCATCAGGTTGTTGACTTCTATACAGCAGATGTCACGGAAATGGAAGAACGAGGGTTGCACTGTAAAGCTTTTGGCAATGCTATCATTGGCACAGACGGAGGGAGGAAAGAAAAGAGTGACAGTCTGACTGGTCAGGTTGCCTAGTGCCATCAGAATAGCTTAATAGCAGCTGTCTGACTTCTCAATTAGTCAGCACAAGGCCACGTACCTGTACTTGGCAAGTTCCTGGAAACTTATCATAATGCCAATCACAAAGTACAGCTTTTATGGAGTGTACTTTGCTAACATTTTAGCAGAAATCGACAATTGCCTGTGTCCCCTGGTAAAAGGACAACAGTCAACAGCACAGAACAACAGGGTTAACTTGAGACTGACCCAACAGCAATAAAATCCCCACAGAAATCCCTGTGCAAATAGCTTTTATTATGGAGCAGATGTGAGGGGACAAGGTGAGCATGGACCGCACTTCCTGCTCTCTAGTATCCTCTCAGTCAGAGGAGCTGGATAGAAAATTAGTTTTTCCTTGAGAAGAAAAAAAAAAGAGCAAGCAAGAAAAAAAACACAAACCCAAGGCTTAAAAAAAAACTGACTAAAAGGTTTTAAGCCCAGTCTCATTTGATCTAGTTCAAGGGAATTAAATCAGCATTTAGTAGAGAATTTCTTCGGAGTCCTCCTCAGATTAAGTTCAAACGCAATTATAGTTAAGTAGTGCTGGTAACTTTTAAAGAGGCTTCCCTCTTCTGACAGCCCGTCATCCTCAGAAACAAACAAAAGAAGCCCATAGACTTGTAGAAGTGATAATGTCAAAGAATCTCATTCAGTGCATGAATTTCATAGCCCTTTGCAATACCAATCCATTGGACTTAGTCATGCCATCTTCCTCTTAACAAGTGACTCAACCTGTACCCCGCAGAAGCTATTTACTGCCAATGGGTTCTCTTAATTCCGAAGGGAGAAAAGCAAACCAACAATAAAAAAAGCAGTTTTCTTCCTAGCAAGAGGAAACAGTAGAACAGATAAAATTATGCTTGGCAGTCTTTTTATTTTTATTTTTTTTCTGACTATAATTAAGATGTTTTTGCTTCTTGGTGTGCATTTTCTTACTTGTGGCTTGGAAGCTTTTAGATGTACTTTTGGATTGAAGAGAGATTGGGAGAACCAAGCTCCCACATAGCTCCTGTGGGAAGGGCTGCCTTCCCTTCAGATAGTTCTAATGTGTGTTCTTCCCCCAGTTGCAGGCACTAAAAGCTTTTTCCACCCTGCAGCAATCCTACTCTTCCCAGAGGGGTTTGCATATTTAACCTATTGGCATTACCATAAATAAAAACGTTCATTTGAATGTAGCAACTGGGGTTGCAGTTCCGTACCTCGCATTCAATTAATTAATATGCTAGTTCTGCTTTCATCCCAGGAAAGCGTTATGCAATAGGAAGCCTTCATGATGATTTGTGGAGTGAGCACTGTGGACAGCAGGTCTGTAGGGAGCTACCTGAAGTGTCCACAGAAGTATTTGAGAAAGTCAGTATGAAGTTAATTTCGGGATAGAAGTAAAACAAGTTTTTGAAAGCCCGGTGAGGAGACAAGAAAGTAAAGATACAGGCATCTCAGACATGAAATACAGACATTCACAGGAAGGACCCAGAGGGAACGCTGATTGCAAGAGTGTGCAAAGCGATCACAGGAGGTTGATTTAGGTCAGGCTGCATCTTGGAGCTAACTTCAGTTTACAACAGGGCTCAGGGGACTTGTTTTGCAGAACTAAGTAACACATCCATTGTTTCTACAGCTTTCAGTTTTACCTAAGGCTACTTCCAGGCTTTCTCGTTACTATGGAGAACAAGAAGCCCCTAGGACAGGCTTTTGGACTGAGCAGGACAGCCCTGTCATGTAAATTACTTCAGATCAGCTTGCTGGATAATCTTAGTTTACCATTGCAGAGGTGCTTCATCCTGCTGGAATTCTTCAGTCACTGGGATCTCAGCTGCAGCACCACTTCCCCAGCACGTTAGGAATGTGTATAACAAAAGCTGGCAAAAGCCAGAGTGCTGCAGGAAGGTACTTGCTGATCCTTCCTCCCTACATAGCTCATAACCTCCTGCATTGAAAGCAAGCATGTGCACACATTCTGCAATGAAAATTTCAAGCAGCAAAAAACCAATTAGTTACACCTTGTTCTATACAAAACTCATGAGATATGGAAGTCAGGCATTTAAGGAAAAAGTTCAACAAGGTAACAGTTAAGAAGAATCAATCTAGTGCAAGAAAGATGTATGAAAAGGATAGAAAGACAAGTGATGAACTTTGTGTAATAAGAAACATAAGTGAAGAAACGACTGAAGCTTGGTTTCAAGACCATTTAATCCATCACCTGCAATTCCACATACAAGCTTTGGCTGCGCATTTCAGTTTGCCTGCAATGTGCAGTGAGGGTTTCAATTTCCCAGCACAATAGAAATCTTAAATGCTGATGTGTGCACTGAGACTCTCTCAAGTCAAACACAGGCCTGATTTTCAGAAGGTGGGCTTGAACTTCTTAAATGATTCTGTGGTTGCTCAGTCAAGAAGGATCCCTCTATTAGAAAAAAGGCACCACATTACAGCAGTATCTCTTGGGCAACTTCTTGTCATGAAAAACCTATGGCAGCATGTAGAAAAGTGACAGACATTGAAAGCTGCAACCACTTGGTGCTTCTCACTTGGCACCTAATGTTTTTGTGTGTTCTTTGGCAGAGAAATTCAAAGGATGGAAAAACATCAGATGGCAGCTGATTAACACATTTCAGCTTCTTCAGGGTTGGAAGCAGAACAGGCTGTAAATGCCAAGGACTGCTAGGAAACAGCAGAGGTTTAGTGCCTGCAGACATTTTGCACTCGCCACACAAACTGGGTAGAAAAGATAAGAATTAGTTGTTTCCTTAAAAGTGGAGCAGCAAGCTTCCCAGCTGCTACAGACAAACCTAGGCAGAGGCATCTGCCAGAATCTAGATAGAGGTTTTAGAGGTTTGCCCCTCTTCTCCAGTAGCTTTCAGCAGAAGTTTCCTAGAACTTATGCAGATAGCAGAAGGATAGGACCACTCCTTTCAAGCACCAGACTACACTGATTTCAACTGTTTTCAGTTGCTTTAACCTGCTAGAGCCAATATAGACTTCCCCAGACAAGCTAGACAGGACTTCTATCTTCCGGAATAAAAGCCAACAAAATACAAATGTTTTGGTCCAAGGGATTTTGCATAACATATACAAGTACCAACATGAGTTT